AGGGTCGTAACAACTGGCTCTCTTTTTTCTTCAGTCTCTTGATGAGATCCAACTTCTGACAAGACGCAGTACACATTCTTGATACCTGCCCATGACACGTTTTCATGGCTTTCCTCTGCAGACTTACATGATTCTCAAAGTCAGGAATCGGAACAAGTGGCCTCTGTTAAGCGTCACTCCAGTCCAGACAGTAATTCACATATAACTCCAGGCTAAACTGCCAGCATAATTATAATTGGTGCAATAAAGCGTTGGAGACAAAGTGAATAAAAGTTTAATAAATACAGATTGTCATTTATGTATTTTTTTTTTTTTTGCCGCTTGCCAATTGGACACACTTGTAGGTGTTCAAAATCTCAATTCCAATTCCAATGGAAAGGTCAGTTGTATACACTGGTGATAATTATGAGACCTTTAGCTTCTATGATCATGGACAGATGGCCGACTCACAAATGTAAAACTTCTTACTAAGGTTAAACTGACTGTCAGAAGTTGTACTGTTTTAAGATCTTTCTGAGGTTCTGTTTTATCCGTTCGATCAACTCTATTTCTGATAAAGTAGTGCTGCCTCAGGAACTAAACACTGGCAGGGACACTGAGCTAACAAACAATTTGTAATAATGTTAATAAATTACATTTAGGAAAAGTAAACCTGAAGGAATCAGCCAAATACCTGTCTGAAGCATCATGGTCTGCCATGAAAGAACAATAACAGTCTTTGTAACTGACAATTAAGGAATAGTGTTGTAGCCTACTATTTGCACTGTACATGAAAAGTGATTTTCCACATGTAGCCTACCACACAGTTTGGAAACAAGTCCAATAGTGTATTAAAGTGTTCTCAATAAACCCAACAGGGCCACCAGGAAAGCCCAGAAAATTGGCATTTCTGCAGAGTTGAATTGTTCAAATATAAAACAGTGTGACCCAAATGAAAGAACAGGAGAGGTTTGTCTGAAGTCGATGAATTAAACTATTTATTATGGAGAGCATTCCCCACATTAAGGCTTTAGCTAAGGTTCAACATAAAAGGCCCATTTTTTCACGCTTTTTCGACTTGTGATTTATATTATTCTTAGACCAGCATATATGAAACTGATCAACCAAAAAAATGTAAATGTGTGGGGATTAAATGTGCTGCTTGTTAATCATCACTTTCATGTCGCTGAAATGAGGAGCAGCCATGCTCCAGCGCACCTCGGTGTGACGGTGAGACAGCTCTCTGCAGCGCGGATGGAGGAAGCTCAGTCCGCATAGCTGACGGTCACATCGCTCGGCCTGGAGGTTAATATGACATTTGTTCACCCAGCGAACTGCCAGATGCATTTCAACCGGAGTAAAAAAGCAGCTATTTAGTAGCGCAATTTAGAAACAACCGTTCATTTCGCCGTGCTTTCATGGCGTCTGGCTCCGGAGATGAAGAGGGGAACACGGAAGTCGGTTCATGGAGACTCATAGGCCCGGTCGAGGGGCTCTCCAAGAAACGCTGCCGCCTGATGTACTGCTCCCTGGGCTTCAAGTCTGATGTCTGCCTCTTCTACGTGAAGGGGGAGTTTTTCGCCATGGATGCTCGCTGTGCACATTCCGGTAAAACATCCTACAGTATCAGTCGCTTATGTTAACCCTTAGCTATCTAGGCAAAAATAATGCACAATATAACGTTGTTGTGATTGTATAAGGGTATTCAGCGTATTGTAAAGAATGTAGCAACTGTGGGTCAGACTACAACTGTTTACCTCTTACACAAAATGAGTATGGTTCGTTCTTCCCACAGCTGATAGCCTACGGAAATATCATCCGTGACAGCCCCCTGCTGTCACATAGCTTTATCAGTTTCACACCATGTTATTCAAGCCTCACCATCACATTTTCCCAGAAGGTGCACATCAAAAGCCATTTGTTTTGTTTTTTTTAAAGCGAGAACATGTGAGTAACAATTTCCTGTTTCTCCCAGGCGGTCCTCTGTGTGAGGGGGACATCGAGGAGGCTGACGGAGTCCTGCAGGTCTTCTGTCCCTGGCACGACTATGACTTCAACCTCAGGACTGGGAAGTCTGGGACCTCCTTACAGGTCAGAGATGAAATATGTCCTTGCTGTATTACTTCTTCACAAAACAGCTACATTTCATTGCTCAGAATAGAAAGATATAATTCAAATGTGAGTTAGAGTAGAACAAACATTAATTAGACCCCAAATGATTCCCGAAATATCATCACGAATCAAATATGCATCAAACTTCCAAAAACATGCCCAGTAGGCAAAAGCTTCACTCTCTGACTGCACCTGGAAGTTAATGTGAACATTTGCAGTGACATGTAGGCAGATTGTATTAGATGTAGAAAGTTCCACTGATTGACACAGCATGAGGAATCAAAGTCTATGAGTCAGAGTTAATGTTTTGTTCCCCTTTTATTCCCCTTTTCTATTGTTTGCTTGCCATGAACAATCCAAACAAGAGCTTTACTTTCCATAAACATCTTGTTCAATTTTATAAACCATTGTTTCTCCTGTACAGTGCATTACTGTGATGTCACCAGTCAAACAATATAAAAACAATTATTCTGGGAGTTTGCACAGGAGGGTTTGCTCCATTTTAACTTATCAGAAGTGACATTACATACACTGTAAGCTTACTTGGTTTTTTAGCAGCTGTATGAATACCGCAGTAAATTACAATTGGTTTATTCCCTCTCATGTGCCTTTTGTGTTCTCTCTTTTTACAGCAACAAGTGTATGAAGTCAAGCTGGAGGATGGCAACGTGTACGTGAAACACGCCAATCGTCTCTCCTTAGAGCCTTTTCCTGCGGATCAGAAGAGTTGAAAAACCTCTGCCCTTTGTGAGGCCCGTCTATTTTTAATACTTGTTCCACAAACCCAAGCCATCTGAAACATTCCTGAGCCTTATCTATCATGTTCACAGACGGTTTCTGCTTTGATTGCTGTGAACTCAGGACAATATCAAGAGGATTGTCTGAAGAGGACATGACATCATGAAACTGAGATGTACTTTCTGCTGTTCCAGGTAGAGATTCATCACAGATACTGAGCATGGAGCGCTCTAAGGTCACTGCAGACTTTTATAATACACCAGACCGTAGCAGATATAACTTCAAAACAGAAAGTCTACTTTTCATATGTAATATTACATTTTTACTGCATAACAACTATTTTGCCTATTGACCAGATTTTGTAGGATTCTTTAAGATAATCATCTTATTATTTCTGATTTAAATAATATAGAGTGATATAGTTTAATGTCTTTGCATTTGAGCTAAAACATTTAAAAAAAAGTCATCTTTATTCTTAGATGTTCTACTTGTCCATCCATTGCTCGTCTTATATGCTTACTAGCAAGCAATTACTGCCCTGTTTTGCTCCCAAATATCCTTTCTGATTTAAATACAAAAGGAAAATTGACAACTAACTATAATTGCAATGAGGGGAGGAATTCACATGCATCCAGAAATAATGATTCTTGCTTTACAGTCATATTAGAGGTAATATGATTTATACAAAATATGCAAAATGCAATGATAATCTAGTGATTTGTAAATGCAGTTCAAGTGGACAAAATGAATAGTACAAATGAGTATGAAATGAACATCAATGTCTTGGTTTATATGAGAAAAACACATGTAGATTGTAATTTTTAGTTGTAGTATGTAATTTTGAAGTCTTAAGTGACTGCCAGTCCATTTCAAAAAGTAATACAAGAGTTTCCACTAATTACAGTGGAGTAATTTGTAGAACCATGTCATGGTGGAAGTGTAATGACTTTAATATCCAACTAAAAGGTCTTATTGTTATTCCCACCATTAATTATCTTCAATGTCTTCAACAAGCATTACCAGAGGCTTCAACTTGCAAGCAATCAGTCACACTTGTTGAGTTGTGGCCTTTGCATAAATGTAGACATGTATTCCAGTGATGTCACCAAACAGAAAACTCTCTTTTAATGATTTGATTTTGGACCGTTTTTTTAACCCGAATAGAGTTCCAGCAAGTAAAACACACATGAAGGGCACTGCAATTACGTTTGATGGCAGTCCCGGAGTTAAGACTTCTCACACAGCAATTCTCTCCACTCCTGGCCTGTGCACAGACAGGTTCGTCTGTTATTGACGCAATTGGACTCAAAAGAAACAGTTAAGGCGCCGCAGGAAGGTTCATGACCTTAAATGCACCATTGGTCTCAAAAAGAAATGTTTTTTTCTAGCTTAATGTGCGTGTGCACTGATGCATTTCTTACCCAGCGGTGAGGGCAGTCACTCACTGTGTTTTCTGTCAGCTCCATTTTCTGGCAGAGGCGCAGGGCCCATCCTGAAGGTGTCAGAGGCAACACATGCTTTCCCCCCTGCTGTGATCCTTGCTGTGCAACTTTATTACAGTAATAATTCCATTGGCTAAAAATGTCTGTAGTGTGCAGGAGTGTTTTTTCTGTGTGCAGTATAACTCATCACCTGAAGGGTAATAGACACACACAATGGACATGCAGCTATTTTGAGTCAGTGGAAAAGTCGAAGTAAACATTGTCAGGATTCTGCACAGTACTTGATATTCCGTGAGTACTACTGAGAAAACCAGCATTACCATCTGTTGCCATATGTTTCCTTAAAGTTATTATATGCTGAGCTAATTTGAATGCATTTAGTTTCTTATGAAAATGATGTATCTGGTTTATATGTAAAAAATGTCTGCAGACTGCATTGTTACTTTAGCCACATTTTATTTCAACTACCTATCACATGCACTGTAAAGTTCTGTTGTTTCGTATGTTTCAAACTATATTTATTGTTGTGACTTTTGCAGAGCTCAGCATTTCATATGTATTGTTTAGATCACAAATTAAATTATTGTTTGCATCACTGAAAACAATTTGTTTTCTTACATTCAGAAATGTGAAATTATTAAACCGTTTAAATTGTGTTCATATACTTTAAAAATTACACAGAAAATAGTTCAAAATGTTTACACAAAATTATTTATTTACAGTCTTGTTCGTACAATAATAGTAGATTTCATACAATACACAATTTACAAATAAAAACTTAATTCAGAGAGAAACAAGATGCATCGACATGCAATATTTAAGCGTTTACAGAGTATTATCACAAGTTATTTATGTAATTCTTCTACTCCCTAGAGCACAGTGACAAATATACAACTCTTCACAAACTCCAGACAGCGGTGGAAAGGTTTAAGAAAGACCCCCTGAATAAATTATGGTCTGGTTGAGACCAGCTGGACTGTTCAGAATAGAAAATGGATAAATCGGTTCATGCTTCATTTACGGAGAAAATCTTGGTGGTTTCTGGTGGAGGGGGAGTATTTATTTGCCCTAAGGTTAAATTGTGCTGCCTAGCTTTACATGCAGCCCCATTCTTTGACAAGGAGGCAAACTCTGGTTTAAAAAAGCAATCCACTTTGTGTTGTTGTTGCAAAAACAACCCAAGTTTAGCCAGTAGGTCTGAGGGGATAAATAGACTTGATTGTCGGCTACATCTGTAACAATAGTTTAGCCAATTTGATGAGATAAACATTTGTATTTCTATGCAGTGGGGTTTTATCTATTGGAACCAGGCTTCAATTCTCTACTTGATTCTAAAGACTTTGGAAACTTTTTTCTTTACTCATTAAACCAAACATTGCAGAGGTCTTTTGATCTCCTTTGAAGATCCCCAGAAGACAAAGTAACTGTTTGGAGAGCTCAGCTAACTTTCCCATGCAAATCCTTACATAATAGCTTATCCTATTATTGCTACCTTGTCCTCCAAATTCCCCTGATAGCTTCTCCTCATGAATAAGACAATTCTCCTGTCAAAGTTTTTTTCGGCTCTTTTCCATGTGCAACCTCTTTTGAAGCCTAAGATTCTGTAAGTGATGGTCCGGGAGGCCAAAGACCACTAATATTTTCCTTTCTTTTTTTCCCTTTACCAAACAGTTTCCTAAAAATGATTAAATCCATCGCTAGATAATCTTGCTGTTATTTTTTCTCTTGATGTCTTTGGTCTAACATTTCCTCCAGTTGCTCTACAGCTGTTGGGCCTCCTCAGCTGACCTCACACAACCATTCCTTTTTTTATAGGACTTATCTCTTCCCACACCTGGATTCAATCATCATCTTTTCTGTACGCTGTCAATGCTATGCCTGCTTCGGGAAAATGTTTGTTTTCATCTGGAGATCTGAGTCGTGGACGGCCCACAGTCCTGTGATTACAGAGGTCAGCGATAATGGCAAGGTACCATATGTTTTCACCCTTTAAAGCTGTTCTTGAGTGTTTTTCTGGAGTGTGCTGCTCTTAGTTCATAATGGAAAAATATTGTTTTTTTCGACATGGGGCCAAGTTTAAGTGTAGGGTTACAATATAGTGTATGGCTTGAATTTCTTGCATTTAACTTCACAATGGCACCACACAAACAATATGTCTGTTGCATATAAGGAATGATAAGGTAATCAGCTTAAATGGTTACCTGTACAGTTAATGGTTTGACCATACTCCTCTTGGGCTCAGTATATTGTTGATGACTTAACTCTATCCTTTGTACATTGGAAATTAACTTGTTTTTCTCTTTGTGAAAGTCAGGTTCAAACTGTTTTAATAGTTCTCAAGAGGATATGTAATTTACTTTTTAATTAACAGCAGGCTTATGTTTACTATTCAATCTCTCCTGGTTTCTCCATGGACCATTCCCCCCCTCATATGGTCTTCAATTAGTTCAGCTTGAAGAGCCTTTTCCCATGGGTCTGCAGTTGCAATTTTGCGCATTAACAAGTTTTGCACTTTTATGACAAAGGGACATTTCTTCCTATCACCAACCTCAATGTAAATAGCTTTATTTGTGTTATTTAAATCTAATATTCTGTCTCAATATATCTCATTAACAGGATTTATGAAAACATGGCCTTTAAGTCCACAAGTGTGTTCACTCTTTAATTGTCAGAATCATACAATAAGTCTTGTAAAGGAAAATAAGTGTTCACCGAGTTTAACCACCAGAAAGATTGCTCTGTAGTTGAAAAGATCGCTGTAGTGTACGAATTGTATAATCTTCTGAGCCATGCAGCAAAGTATAAAAAAGGTTAATAGGTCCTGCGCAGTTCAGAGCGTTGAAGACTGATTACATGAGAGTTAAATTATTTTGTGTCAGAAGAATCCTGTACAAGATCTCCTACACACACCTTTACCACATTATCTGCCTCACGTACTAAATAAGTTCTTGTTTCAGTTAGCTGCAGCACTCTTTATGTACTGTACTCGTTTGTTACATGCTAATTTGAGCGCTCAAGTTAAATTATATAGTTATTGCACTTGCACACAGATGCAAAGGCAGCTCACAAGCGCATTAACTGACAACAAAATTCCCTTTAGACACTGAATAAGTCTCTCGAATGGTTTCTGAAAACTGGTATATTTGGAAATATGTATTTAGGTAACATTTTCTTTGGTTTTACTTTGTAATGTGCAGAGGACAAACATACTGTACATTATGTCATACCTCTAAATCAACTATGCTTTTTTTAGACTGCCTGCTTCTAGTAAGATAAATGCTTGTTTTTGCCATGGTCTTGTTCTTGCACATTTTAAGTAGGTGTGAAAGGACGTTTGACTGAATCACAGTTGGCAATCTAGCATGCTAGTGAAAAACATTAAGAAGCATGACTGAAAACATCCTCTGTTCCCTGGGTGGCATGCCTGTATGTGTCCCTTAGGTGGAGAGATTTTTTCTGGTTTGTAGAAAAAGGAATCGGTGTCTTCTGCAGACAACAAGGGCCTCAAGTTGGTTCCTTTCTGATCTTGAAAATACATTTAAATGGAAAGCAATGGCCATTCATGAAGTGCTTGGGGCGTTACGTAGTATTTTCAGTTTGGTTTAAACTCAAGCTTTGAGAGAAATCAGCAAAACGCCATGGAGAAATTGGAATGCTAAAAATGAGATCTATAAAAGTAACAATGCCAAACTTCAGTCTATTTTCTTCATACATAAACTCAGACAAAAGCTTATTAAGTAAATGCCAGTCACAGCGTAACACATAGTCAAATATTTGCATGTCTTTTAAGAGGGAGGAGGAAACAATATACCAATCCCTTCAAGTAAGTATACTGGTAAGTCTAAACAATATCTTCAATCGATCTCATTCATTTGGCTTAGTTGCTGTCTGCTTCAGTGTTATGCCTCCACAGTTATGAAGGAGTATCATACTCATGAACAGATGGGCAACTTCGACATCCTTGATTTGATGTCATCCTTGTCATGAGTCTTGACAGAAGACCTACAAATAAAAAGGAAACGGTATTTAAATCATTCAGGTATTATTGTCAGTGTTAAGTTACATGAATTCATCCTAACTCATCCTACAGACCTTGAAACATCTATTGGCGTTGCTGTGTTTGCGTGGACACTCTCCTCCTGGTTGTAGAGCTGACTCTGCGACTCTGGGCCCTGCCCCGCTGCTCTGAAGGATAGGCCACTATCTGGCTGGATAATCCCTGCACCTGCAGACCTGCTGACTCCCTCATGTCCCTCGCCATCTGAGACAGAGTCTGACCCGGGTTGGTCTGCAGACGCTGGAAAAGGCTTTCTCTGTTAATTTTCCTCTCTGGACAGCTGAAGGTCAACGCCACCCCAGAGTCTGACTTCATCTCCCTGGAAAAACCGTCTGAGGTGCCATCAAAGCAGCGGCCTATAGCAATCTCTTTGGCCACCCTTGGGTTCTGGTCTGTGACTGTGTAGATGCCATAGTTGTGTCCCAAAGGATCAAAAGGGGCTAGCATGGTGAATCCATGTGACTCGTTGTTGTGGGCTACTGGTGGATGTTTGATGAGATACTCTTGTAGAAGGCCATTGGTGCCCGTCCTGCGACAGTTCCCCTGTGGGAGGAGTGTTATGATGGATCTGTCTACCTCATCTTGATCAAACAGCATGCCGCTGCATTTGAACTCTACACAGGCTGCTGAGGTGTTGGCCTCTCGCATGTCCCGGGTGCTGCGGATGTCTCTTATTCCATAAAGTTTGCCTTTAGTTTCTCGGTGTGTTCCTCCCGAATTCTTCGACCTGACCATCACTTCCTTCTGTCCATGGATCTTGACCTTAATGAAGCATGCTCTGAACTCCTGGGGATTAGGCCACCATGAGAGGTAGTCTCCTGTCCAGGTCGTCAAATCATTCTCTTCAAAGGGAACAACATTGTATTCATACTTGTCCTTTTCCACTCTAAAGAATCTGAAATGATTTGCATCGAAAGGGGCATTTTCACAACCGATTAAATTCACATATGGATATATTGGCCCATTGGTCTCGTCAAAATTATTTTGGTTAGGCTTTGCCAAATTGATTTTGAAAGCTGTTTTCTTCAGAGCTGGATCCTCATGATCTGACCGCTGGTAGTCTATTTTATGCAGATATGGCTGAGACACTCCAATGATGTTTGGATTCATCTTAGGTGAGGAAGGAGCTGCCTCCAGTTCTTCCCCACCCATCATTGCTGTGACATAAGCTGTGTAAGCATCAGGCCTTTGGGCATCACAGAAAGCTGGTAAACAGGCCCCGTTGGTTCCAGTTATGACACTGTCAAAACGACCCCATGCCCTAGGATTAGAGGAAAATCCAGGTTTGGGTTCCAAATTTATCAAGGTGATCACAACACCCTCAAGCTGTTCACTAGATAAGAACTTATCACTCATGTAGGCACGGACTTTAACATAGCATCGTCGGTTTTCTGGCACGTCTAAATTGAAGAGTCTACGTTCTCTGATCTCCATGTTGCCTATTAGGAACGTGCGGTCCTCTCGTTTGCTCCGCCCATGACCACCAGCACTTGTTGTGGTGTAGGAGAAGTCACTCTCCTCTTCCCAGACTCCTGTGTCCGTATTTAAAGACCACAGTTTCATTTTGGGAATGTGTTCTTCCATTTTGACATGCTGCGTATCGAGAAGAACTTGAACAGCTCCAGTTCCAAGTACCTCCTTGTTGGTCTCATCTCTGAAGTCCACAGAGAACATGCCATAGGTCCGCAAAGGGAGCATGTCACCCTCATCATCTACAAAGTTTAGATCGCCGGGGGCTGCGGCTGCCGTAGTGATATTTCTTGGATCAATGAATGTGACGCTGGCTTTTACAGTTCCCTCATAGAGTTCTCCATTTTCCTTGTGGAAGGAGTTGGGAGGAATAACTAACTGACCAATGGGGTCTTCCCCTTCAATTTCCCCTAGACTAATATAGTTGGTCTCTCCTGCATTGATATCAATAGGTGTCTTCTTTCTCATCACCTTCACATTATGGTAGATGGACCCACCTTTCTTATCAAGAAGGAACACCTTGGGAGTGTCAAGGAAATTCTGAGAGGGGTCAACAAAATTCACCACCAATCTCTCTGTATCAGGATTAATGTGCAAAGTGAACCCTCCTTGGAATCCAGTGGTGCCCAGCCTCTCTTTACCAATGTAGATGTGCCCGAAACGCAGAGGCTCATCATTATCAGCTGTGACCACTCTGCCACGGACTATTACAGTAGGCTGCAAACATTTCTGACAGCTGCATTGTGTCACAGCCCGGATTGGGAGGCTGTAGCTCCCACAGTCAATGATTCGACTTTCCATATTTTGGACTCCGCAGCAGAAACCAGTTCCATCTTTGCAGCGCATATCAAAGTCCAGGGAGCCAGAACATTTGTTATGAGGGCAACGGCCAGCGTTGAAGTGCATGGAGTCGGTCCCCGGTTGAACACAGTCCATCGGCAGTCTGATGAGGTGCCTCTCAGGGGTGGAATTGCATGCTGGCTTTCCTTTTGCTGAGAAAAGGAAGATAAATTGCATTAGCTGGTGTTGACATGAGAAATATAAAAGGTAAATTGTAAAACATAAAAAGCGTAACCGTTAGAGTTATCCTTTCTCTTGTCGTATCCGTTTTTATTATTTGAAAAAATAACTCCATGAGTGGAATAAAACAAGTGAATAAATTCAAACTTTCCAATTGAGTTTATAAAATATATTATTCCTGCCTTCCTGTTTCACAAATTGATTAAAAAAAAAACATGAATCATTTATTGTAACACACACACCATGTCTAAATGGCCTGGCACAGAGTTCCTGTGAGTGGCCAAGTTGGACGGTTAAATGTCTACGAAAGAGTAATACGACATGATGAGGAAATGTAATTACCAACCATCCAGATAGGAGATGGAAAGAAATATTTCTTGTTCAGCCAAACATTGACAGAATACTAAATGTGCAATAATGGTGGAACTTGAAGTCAAGTTTCCTTTTTAACCTCCAAATCTCCCAAGTAAGTTGATAATTGCAGACACATGGAGCAGTGTGATGCGTTTTAAATATTATTACTGTGCTGCTAATGGCTTTACCAACAGGACTGAGAGTCTCCTTCGATGAAAGATTATGTAACTTCTACTCTGTAGAACTGTGGTTATCACATTTTATGGGAAATCTAATTCAACTTCTGAATAACATAAAATGTAAGAAGAAACCACACTGTGTTAAAGGAATAAGAGTCATCCTGCTCTGAGGAGCAGGTGTTACCCTGCACACATATAGCGTCTCTTGCCATAATGGCTTTTGGAGTGTAGGGATTGGTCTGTGGACTTTCATAGATTACTTTTGCACTCTTTCATAAAAGCTTGTCTGTTAATCTGTTCCTCAGCTAACAAGTGCCTTAAAGATATAAGCAATGGGTTGCTTTCCCACAAGGATCTGGAATCACCTACTTGTCTGAATCTGAAAGAGAGAAAAAAACTGGATTTATAGACAATCTTGAGTTACATCTCTCAAGTTCTAAAGATATTGGCAGTGAGGTTTTCCAGTGTACAGATCCATCTCATACAATAAAGCTTTGCAGTTGAAGAAGCCACTGCTTCAAAATCAACATAATACAAATGTACTGCTATAAGCGCCGCCAATTCGCGCAAGCTCTGATATTTGAATTTTCCTATTTTCTTAGAATGTAATGATTTATTTTCTCAGAAGAAAGGCAGTCTATTAACAAACCCTCCATTGGTTGTAAGACACAGGGGTTTTGTTTGAATCCTCTTTATGCATGGGTATGGCTCAATAATGTCTTGGTTGGAGCTCAGTGCTGACATTCCTCTTAAAATGTGAATTCAAGCCCAGAGGCAGCTGCTTTTTATCCACTAAAAATAAATTGTGGTTGTTTGCTTTTTGTCAGTGGTTTCACTTGAAACTGTGTAGAACTTTGACTCAACACGTCATTGTCAAATGCACTGGGACCGCAGCCATGCTTAGCTATAATCCCTGTGTACCGCTATCATCATAGTCGATTATTTTCTGTCCAGGCTGATGATGATGAATTAAGGTTTACATTACATTACTGTGCCGTTTATGTTTTTTTTTACTGTGAGAATAAACGTTTATTTTAATTTTTCTCCACAACTTTTTAGCATTTCATGCGCTAATATATGTCATTAAACTGACCTCAAACCAGCAGATTGGTGTGATTAGGACTGGTCTACAGATGGATGTACTCAATTGCTTTCAGTAAGAGATCCAAGAATACACATATATACCCATCACAGTGAGGAGGGCTGCAGAGGACTTGATGCTGCCTGCAGAGCTGCTGGTCTTGCAGTAGTACAGCCCAGACTGCTCTGGCTTTAGGTCCCACAGAACGAGGTCCTCTTCATACTTGTACACCTTCCTGTCCAGCAGAGTCCCATTGTGGAACCTTGGAGAATAGTTACAGAGACAAGAAAAAAATAATTGTTTCCATTTCTTTTTAAAAAAGATGTTTGTTCGTAATGATTGATAATTATATTAGAAATAGATCACATAACTTGGAACAACTTCCCCTGACTCTGCAGTTCCCTTTAGCCTTTATTTAGTGTCTTTCAGCTCATTGTTTTGGTTTTCTAGTCAGGGACCATATTTGTTGTCATGTCTCAAGGTCTTTATTAGCTTTTTCTGATAGAAAAGGCAGATGTTTTCTGCCAAACAGTTTCAGATAAAAAACGTTGCATGCTATTGGCCCACTACCAAACAGCAGAGGGTATTAAGTTGCTAACTGATGAAAATATTAAGCAGCTGACAAGACATATACTCAGAACCGGTTAAAGACCAAAACATCTGAGAAGTTACTGATTAATGCTCCTTTAATAGAAATGTTAAGGGACCTCCAAAATATAGACTTACAAATATGCAAAAGTTATCACTCTGTAGCTTCTGTAGCTAGTTCTGTGCTTCATCTATTATTTGTCTCACCAGTAGTATTTGTCAGGTGCTGGTGATCCCGTTGCCTTGCAGCACAACATCACCCGTCCTCCCTCATAACGCACTTTATCCTCCGGGTGCTTCACGATGTATGGCTTTTCTGTGGAAAGCGGAAAGAAACAAACCCTCAAGACCTTCCTCTGACTCTTGTGAGTGGTTCCACAGAGTTTTGAGATCTCATAAAACTCACTCAAATGTGTCACTTTACTTTCAAATTGGTCCCTGTGCTTATGAAAAATGATTGTTAAGGGTATTACTTTCACAAAAGGAGAACTGGACTATTTGTATTTGGTCTCCACGCAACCAGCAAGTTGGCGCTATAGACAAATTACTTCATACAATGGGCCGGACTGTTTAAGTTTGAGCTCTGTCAATTTCCGGTTTTCTACTATCTGAGAATATATTTGAAGGATTTAATGGCTTTGGGGAATATTAAAAGTAGGTATCAGGAAACCCTTAATTGAAAATGAAAGTAGCTCCTTTTAGAAATAGCTTGCCACATTACCATTAATAGTTAATCATCCAGGTTGAATCGATTAAAAGCACCAAACATCAATAAATAATGTATTTATATTTCACTTGTTTCTTTATGAGCACTCACCAGCTGATTTGAGGACTGCTCGTACCGAAGACAACCCTGTGGTGTTGCTTGAGGTGGAGACGGTGATCGGAGCAAACTTATCCTTCCTGATGGACATCAAGGTAGAGCTGGAGGAGCAGATTCCTGTGACCCTGAACTGACCGTTGGCGTCTGTGCGGGCTAGGGTCACTGTGGGCTTGCTGGCCAGAGCCACCAAGGCTTCTGCCACAGGAGCCCCGGTCACACTATGGACCTCCCCCTGCAGTATGTGGTTATCACAGGAGCACCGGCTGCAGTCCTCAGAGGGGCTGCCCTCAGTGCACCGGAGCTGACATTTGGCTGTTGGGAGAAGATACAGATATTTGAGCACTGATGGATGAAGACAGCAAGAAAGACATCATGACTTCTTCAGCGGTACCTGGGCATGGACTCCTTCTACACTTCTGTATTTCAGCGGGCCGTCCAGAACACTGAACCGTCACTGAGCTCCTCGCACAGGTCCTCCTCCTGATCCTGCGACCCCCACCACAGGTCACTGAACACATCCCCCATCGACCCCACGGGCTCCACTTGGCTGATCACATAGAGACAAGGAATCATGTGAGTTTCAAATTATCTTTTAAGATTGGGATAAATCATATAATTATTTCTGTCATTCAAACTTCTTACATAGTGGTCTAATGGGAGCTGTTATCTCTTTTGTGCACAGGTCCGCCATTAAAGGCCACATGACAGGATAATTAGGCTGCCATTGAACAGTATTGTGGGCATAAAAAGAACAAGAAAGCTGATTAAATAGATAACTGATTACAAGACTAGAACACTTAAAAACGTAAAGATTTGAATGGTGCATGTAGACATTTGTTATGTCAGTAAAGTTTTTAATATGCTGTCTCAGATTTAAAAATTATATAAATATCAAAATTGACATTTCTGCATATCATAATTGTAGCTTATTTTCCGTATAGATTTCATATACACAGCTGTATAAAACAATAGGGTATTTTATTCACCTCCCTCTTAACCCTTTAATAAGAGTGGTTGGAGGGTTGGGGGAAATGCAGAGCAGCTTCCTGATTGTTCATTCAAAGACATCTCCCCACATACAGTATTCATTGACATTCTGATCTATCTCACCTGTACATGGAGGGTTGGAGCACTCCCTCCTCTCTGAATGGTGTCCCTGGCACGCTGGCACCAACAGGAGAGGCATGGGCTGCGTGTTCACACATTTCCTCTGGCGGACCTGGATGCCGACATCGTTACAGACCGTGGTTGAACAGGGACCCCACTCACTCCAGTCAGTCCAGTAGCTCTGCACTAAACACACACATTGTAGAACAGATTAACATCTGAGAAAAGCTAACAATTACGTGAATCAGGAAATAGTTTCTAATGAGCGTTTCCTTGCATGGATGTGCATATAAGTGAACCCTAAGTTGCTGTCTTCAGACTACCTGGGTGACACTGAAAGCGGACATGGTAGTTGGAGCAGACGCGGCCCTGAGGCTGTTCTCTGTTGATGCACCAGAAGCCCTTCTCCAGACTGGAGTGGACCACTTCCCCTGTCTCTGCTGCTGCAACCCAGTCTGTGGTGCGGGCCTCCATGGCCACGGGCCGAACACAAACCCTCTCCCTGTAATAGAACCGGATCGCCTCCAGACGCTCGTAGTCTCCATTCCCCCCAGGATGGTCGATGTTGAACCAAGACGTCCACTCTGTCACGCCTGGGGACACATGGAAGGGAGACATGGATATAAAAAAACTAGAGAATAGAGGGTTAGAATGGAAAATAGTCAGAAAGTAAGAAGTTCTCATGATGAAGAAATAGGGGAGGGGGATATGAGCTGGTCTTACATTGAGGGGAAACATGGGTCAGAACCAAGAAAAAGCAAGTGGGAGGAAACCTGAAGGGATGGGTTACAAACTTTAAGAGGAGGTCTGCTACCCCCATTTGAGGCTGACTTCATGCACCCCTGGGAGCTTTACATTGTCCAGGTGCTTTCCAAGCCCCCTGGCCTAACCGATGAGGCAAGTTGTCTACTTGTTTAGTCTGCTGCATGTTCTGAAACCTGAGTGTTTCCTCAGGAGGAATATGAGCGATTCAAAACCAAACAGGCATCAGCAACAAACTTGTTTCTTTTGTTCACAAAGTAATTCATTATCCTGATGAATTAAGTGTTCTGTTGGCCTGTGGGTGCACAGTTAATGGAAGAACAATCTGGAGACAGGCTAATAATGGTGCTCTATTCTTAAATAAAAAAATGGATAAAGTCATCAAACCATTGGCTCCAACTTATGGCCATGTTGATAGGCGGCTCAAATCTGCAGGTTTAACTACAGTTCTCAACCTCCTGTGGTTTGTATAGCAGCGGTACACACCTGTCCCTTTCATCTCACACAGTGTGTATTTGCCTAATGGCTGTCTCTCAGTGCCACACCTGAGACCTTCACAGTTCAAAACCCTGGCCTTGCAACCAGCTCTGAATATTTATGCTGAGGAATTCAGTACCTGTCGTCTGTGTGTCAGTGAAGGTGTTGAGGGCCGCTCTCCTGCTCCTGTCTGACGGGCTCCTGGTCCTCAAAGGTCCTGCAAACAGGAAGAAAAACATCTGGATACAAAGCAACAAGCAAATAGGGTACTCAATCCTACAGTGTATGTCCTTCAATACACACATACTCCTTATCCCCTCAGAAACCCAACTTCCAGTAATCTAATTCAATTGATTGTCAGGGTTTTCTGTGTATTTCAATGTAGAAATGTTATCAAACATGACATTTTTGTCAGCATAGAGGTTGTTATTTAAAGAAACAAAAATTAATCAAATGAACATGCTTCAGTAAAAAAATCTTATTTAGCTCATTTTATTTTGTCTTAAAAACCATAAGACTGCAGCTTTTTCAAAGATTTGAATGCACATGCAAATAACCTGACATGTGCTGGCTTTGTATTTGTTTCTGCCCTTTATTTTGTTTTCTCTTATTTCAATTTGTTCATTCTAGTCACAGGTCCTTATGCCTTCTGGGATGACTGATAAGGGGGAAAAGGCCAAGAAACAGATGGATTTTTTGTCTATTTTTTCTTTCTGTCCATGTTTCTTTCTTACAATATTTCATCTTTCTAATTCCTCTCCTTCCATATCTGCTCCTTTCCCGTCTCTTTCTGAAGATTTTTCTCACTGCTGCTTTCACTTTTCCAGTGACACCCCCTTCTTCATTCAAACGGTGAAACATCCTCTCCATCCATCATCACCCTCTTGCTCTTTGTCATACATCTTTCCATCCTTCAGCTTATTGTCCTCCTTTCTCCTCTTGATCCATCAACGAGTAGCCGCTGTTGAGAATGCTAATCAAGCTCCAGCTGTGACAAATCAGCGCATGCAGTCATCTGTTCACCAGCAGCCCAGCCAGAAAACTTCACTTTAAACTGCAGAACACACACACACACACACACACACACACACACACACACACACACACACACACACACACACACACACACACACACACAACCACTTCTATGCAGCAATGTGTTGCCGCTTTCCTTTTTATCTTAATTATAAATGATTATAACGTATACACATGACTTGAACACACTCATGCATCTACACACACACACACACACACACACACACACACACACACACACACACACACACACACACACACACACACACACACACACACACACACACACACACATACACACACACACAGTTTTACTATGGCTGTGCGGGAAGATGAATACATGTCATGATCCGCGACAGAAACTAAAGTAGTTTATGCAGCTTCAGTCAGTCACTGTGTGTGTGTGTGTGTGTGTGTGTGTGTGTGTGTGTGTGTGTGTGTGTGTGTGTGTGTGTGTGTGTGGTGTGTGTGTGTGTGTGTGTGTGTGTGTGTGTGTGTGTGTGTGTGTGTGTGTGTGTGTGTGTGTGTGTGTGTGTATGTGTGTGTGTGTGTGTGTGTGTGTGTGTGTGTGTGTGTGTGTGTGTGTGTGTGTGTGTGTGTGTGTGTGTGTGTGTGTGTGTGTGTGTGTGTGTGTGTGTGTTATGTGCAAGCACTTCGTAAAGTGTGTGTGGCGCAGTGAACTAGTGCTCTGGTGTTCGGATCAGGGGAGCAGGTTCAAACCCCACTGCAGTCAGCATGTCGTTGTGTCCCTGGGCAAGACACTTCACCCCAAATTGCTCTTGTGGGGATTTTCCACAATATTGAGTATGTAAGTCGCTTTGGATAAAAGCGTCTAACATGTAATGTAATGTAATGTAAAGAGATCGCCGAGACTCGCAGCACAGAGGCCAGTATCGATCCCAGTCCCCACTGGTTTTACGGCTCACTTCAACTCTTTATTGTCACGGCAGCAAATTAAATGTCTTTTCAACCCTTCTAATAGATTTAGCAAAGCAGGGTTGCAGAACAAAGATCCACTGTCCAAAAATGTATTACATAAGTTTAAGAGGTATCGACAGTCAGCTGACCCTCATAGTGGCTAGTTGTTTTATGCCCCTGGCTTTAAAAACCATTGATGGGTTTCCATATTGGCTTTTACTCTCTGATACACTGGAATAGCTGGATCAACAGAAGCAAATGCTTTCACACCAGTCTGCTGGACAGATGTGGCTCTGGCTGCTGATTTAGGTTGGTAAATCAAATCAAATCGTTTTTCTATTTCTCTTTTAGAAGACACAACATTTTCTTAGGGATGAGGGGGAGACAAACTACCCTCTTACTTCAGATAATTAACATCGACTTCCACCCTTGTCGTAAATTAGTTACTCTCCCCACTCTGATGTATCTCCAATAAATTATAAAGCTGTTTTCCTGCTTCTGTTACCTCATATTTTATTCCTTGCTCACACCCAACACAGAGGGAATTTACAGCACAACCATTTGGCTCCTGATGATCAATACAAGATGTTTGAGAGGGAAAATAAAATAACAAACGATTGTGTGAGTTTCTTTATGAGGTGTCTAATGGTTTCAGAACGCAATAGAAGAAATCCGATTAGTTTCAGCACAAGAAAATGTTGGGAAGTGACCTCAGTTGTGGCCGGTAAGAACTGGCCTGTTTCCCGCGGTGGACTCAGAGTTTATTGTGTATTTCGGAGGTATGTTAACACTTTATGCATTTTAAAAGCCAGGAGATGTTATTGGTTCACTGCTTCATATGGCTGGTATGTGAGGGAATTCACCTCAAAGTGAAGCAAGTTTTTCAATCCAGGGATAAAGGTTTGAATTTATGATTTCCTTTTAACTCCTAAAATAATCCAGCTGAAAGTGCTCCGCTGGAACAGTATATCTTGTTCATGTACTCTGTGTGTGAGTTGTTTTCTTATTTTGCTGACACAGATGTCGAAAGAAGTTTGACTTTCAAAGCTAACGTTGCAGCCAATAAATCGTTTATTATTATTATTATTATATTTAATCCATGCCCACGAGGACGTCACTTCCTCTATTGGCAGGATTAGCAGGACATTAAAAATCACTGTGGAAAAATAAATTAGAATTGTATGATGTTACGATTATTTAGTAAAGGTTTGGTCAGGTTTCGGCACAAACATAACTTAGTAAGATTCAGGTAAACATTGTAGTTTAGGTTCATACGAGAGGCTGCAATAACTTCAGCAAGTGCCCCCAAAACAATGTAGGCAAAGAAGGAAGTCGTGAAGTTGTAGAGACGCACAGGGAGGAGATCGGTGCGGAAGAACAGGTTAACAAAACATTAGTCGTATAAAGGGGCGACCACATTTTGTTTTCAGTTTCCAACTAGAAGTCAACACGTGGTTTCTTTAAAAGCATGACTGCGATCGTTCCTAATAACGTGTTTCTTCCGAACACCATGACAACAAGCTTCCCGAACTCAAATACAATACTTCTTTGTTTGTTTTGCAAGACTATTTTAGCCCGTTTTTTGCCTTTTAATTGATAATTCAAGTAGTTGGACGACATGCAGAAAAGTTTTGCTTGTCATCAGGGCTAGTCCTTAGTATATGGGCGACCAGTTATAAGTGAGCTACTGGAGCGCACTCTGTACGTTTTGAAAACCAAACCATGAGCTTTCTCTAAACTTGATCCAACCATTGGATCAGAAATCCTTCATTGTCTCATTCTGGGGGGGGAAAACACATATTTTGTAATTCCATTTTTGAGCACTTGTTGAGTGGGGTATGGGGACCTCATCGTTATGGACACAATAATTAACCTGTTGTTAAGGTTATGAACCAAATAAGGGCACAGGCTGCTCTGATTGGTTAGCTGGCCAGCTCCGTTGTGATTGGTCAACCGCTTAAAAATGTCCCATCCCTTAGCCTATCACATGCAATTTGTTGGAGTGCTAACCAATAGGAGCACAAGTGTTACAAGGTGATTTCAGTATGTTCTGGTAAACAAAGGACTAAAATGGAGGCTTTTCAGGCAGGGTGGGGAGTGTGTGGGAGAGAAACTCCCTCTGGAGTGAACTATGGGATGTATGTAACACACTATAGGAAAGGTAAAACCCACAAAAAGCATAATAGGCCCCTTAAACAACAGATGCTGTCATACTAGAGGACAGTATCACCTCTGTGGGTTAGTTATTTTGTTTTGCTCACACAACACTATTTACGATTTTGACTTTTCACAGCTAATATAGTCAAATACAGCACATACAGCTGTATCACCTCTCACCTCTGACATGAACTATGCCAGGTGACGGTTATCATAAACCTCAGCCCGCCTCATAACGTTACAAGATACAACATAGTGGCACCTACATTTTAGAGGAGACCTGTATCTGTGGCCTGCTTAGCATCTCGGATCCACATATAGCACAAGGCAAGCACCTGACACTGTCAGACACATTTGTGAAACATAGCTACTGGATTACTTTGTATCCAGCACTGCAGTCATTTCTAACTTCTCTATAGCGACAACTGCCGTTCTTATTTTAGAGGAATATGTTTGGGTTTAACGATTTACATCACAGAGGTTCATCCTGAAACACAGTCGGCATACTTATAGACAAGGTACACAGAGGCTCCTCTATTAATAATCCCCCATGCCTTTGCAAAGGACAGCCTCTCTCTGCTTCACTTGCTGAGTGGGAGTTTTCTGCTTTTGCCAGGATCTAATAAAAAGCTACTGAAGAGAGAAAGAGAGAAGAAAATACAGGACTTTATGAACCCGATTGCCCCTAGAATGGTTTCAGTCAGATTAGAGCGGCATGGTTGTGCCAGATGTTTATTGGCAGAGGGACAATGCCTGAGTACTGTTTATAATATTCAAGATCTTTACAAGAAGGAGAAGACATGAAAACACCCCTCTCCCGGTATTATAACCTATTTGAAAAAGTTGCTCAGAGAACGAGGTTGTTCAGTGCCTGACGATGAAGTCAAAAACAGCAACATTTCACACATGACGCAGTGATGTGATTTGTGTGTGATGATCTGTTTGCCATCTCATATGGAAGCTGTTTATGTGTTTGGCTAGTGTCTTAGCTGAGGTGTGTGGTTTCAGTCTGTTTTTCCTCTCTGCATCTATCTCTCTCTTTAGTCCAGCACTTTTTTTCAGGTCTGATTCCTAAAACATCTGCGGCTCATTAAAAAGCATCGTTTT